ATTGGTAAGGCGAATCTGATTTGTGGGTGTAAATATTTTAGACATTTATGATAGATTTTTAACTCGGTAAAATAGTTTCAAATTCCAATATCTTCACAAATCGCTATGTGAATAAAAAATAACAACCATAAAAGATCAAGTATGGCAAAGTCGTATTCGACCGAAAGTCGATTTTTCGTGATCGAGTTTTATTTATTAAAGTCGACTTTTCACTTTCGACTGTCGCCACAGCTTCCAATTTGTTATGCAGCGTTTTTGCTGCATTTAAAATGCAACATTTAGCACTTTCGAACATAGCATTTAGCAAATGTACATTTACGCGAGTTCGAAATCGAATGCTTTTGACAAACAGCCGTGTTCCAGTCTCTTATTTAGATGCGTATATATTACGATCAATTCTCACGCAGAAGGTAATGTGCAAAAACCCTACTGGAAAGGGAAAAATAAATTTTAAACCAAAAATTCAATACAAAAACTTGAATTGTTTTAACCATAACCGAACATTTGTTTGTGTATATATTCATTTGTCGGTGCTGCCAATTATATTTTCCACACTTAATTAGGAAACAAAACAAACAGAGTTGATCACAAATTAATCCAGATTTCTATCAGCATCATATCGATGTTGAATTTGCGTAACTTTTCTTTATCCAAATAATGTAAAATAATAAATGAAATCTCGATCGGCGATCACTGAAACGCAGCTAGCGGTTGTATACTCGAAAAAGCAATGTTGCCACTCTTTATCATTAAACCATGTTCGAATCGTGGAAATTTTGGAAGATCACAGGGTTGCTTTTAGCATTTAGATTCTAAATGCAAAGATTGAGTTGCATTTAGATGACGAATTTTGTATGGATAAATGTACATTTAGAGTAGCATTTAGAGCTAAATGCGCTAAATGTACATTTACGCGTAAGCAAAAACAGCCCATTATCTTCATTAACTAAACACTTTGGCGCATATTCATAGTCATATTTAGTTCTCAACTAACAGCCCTATTCCGCCACACTGACAAAACTCACCGCGATGACAATTGATATAAAAATGACAATTGCAGCTTTTTGGTATTCGCAGCAAAATCAAAAGCTCGAATCATGCCAATTGTCATTTTTATAGTCATGACCTTTTGGGCAGGTGACAAGGCAAAAACATATGTTTTTGTTGGTTTAAAAAGTGCGACGATTTAATAAATTTGTGAAAAAAATATAAAAATCAACTAATTTCAATGGCAGAACAAATTTTAGTTATTTGCGCAGCCGTGCTTGTGGAAGACGAGCAGCTCCAGATGCTCCCTACAAAACTGCACATAAAATTGCACCAGCTCCTGCGTCTTCCGCTCATATTTTGCACGTCTAAAATTTTTATAAATTTTATAAATGTACGAATTTATCTATTTCACACAAATACTCACTTTTCTGGTGTTTCACCGCTCATATTTTTTGCAAATAATAGCGTTGACCAGCTGTTTCCACAACAATGAACTTTTCACTATGCATGGTAAGTTGACCAAAGCTTTTCACTTGTCATTTTTTGTTAGGAATAGCAACGTGCAACGACAATGACAAAAT